GAGTTCCGTTTCAGACAGGTGCAGGGGAGAAGTCAATGAAATACTGGGTGAGAAGACACCACAGGAAGTGAGCCCTTCAAGACCGGAGGAGGCCAGGTGAGCGGGCCGAGTAGAATCATCTCCCTGAAGGTGATGCTGTGTGTGACGTCACTGAGGAGGCCAGTGGGAGAGAGAAGAGAAAACGCTGCAGAGAACGCACAGGGGAAGCTGTGGCTGAGACAGAGTGGCGGGAGGCGGGCACCGTGGTGGGGGCAGGGTGGAGGTGAGAGCTTGGAGGCCACGGGAGAAAGGGTGCCATGCCTGGAGAGTGCTTCAAAGAGGGGAAGGAGGGTGACGTCTGAGAAGAAACCAGACTTGATAAGAGCCTGGCCTTTAGGAAGTCAATGATAACCTTCAAGAGACATGAAGCGCCCAGTAGCCCAATTGGCCAGGGTGAAAAAGGGTGGTTGGGTTGGGAGACCTACGCAGTAATGGTAACAGTGGCAGTTCCCTATGTTGTTATAGGTCATGTTTACATGTTGGGCATTTCCTGTGTATCAGATGGGAATCTCGGTGCATTGAATCTTCCCCAGAGCCCCAGGTAGGCGGCAGTAGTCTGCCCATTTTACAGATGAGAACACGGAGGAAATGGAGGCAGCCAAGAATGGGCTTTCTAAAGAGGGAAACAGGATGGCCTTGCCAGGAGGTGGCAGCAGTGAGGGAATGCTCCACTCCTAACTTGGCTCCTTTCTTACTCTGCCCTGACACTCAGTTTTGGGCCTCTCGGAGTGCATGCCACCAGAAAGAAATTAAGTCCAGATGGGGCCTGGGCTGTCAGGGTACCGATGGCCACAGCACTGTGGGTCTAGGAGCCACAGATAGTATAACCAGGCAGAAACTTTATTTTCTTTAGTCTGGCCTTTATTTTTAAAAATTTTTTTTATTGATTTCAGAGAGGAAGGGAGAGAGAAACATCAATGATTAGAGAGAATCTTTGATCAGCTGCCTCCTGCATGCCCTTCAATGGGGATCGAGTTCGCAACCTGGGCATGTGCCCTTTACTGGGATCAAATCCAGGATCCTTCAGTTCACAGGCCGATGCTCTATCCACTGAGCCAAAGGGCTAAGGCTGGCCTTTATTTTTTTTTCCCCCCTTTGATTCTAACTGGCCTTACTCAGCACCCTGACTCGCTCAGCTTCCCTCTCCCTAGCTTAATCATGTAGCCCAAGCATGTCAAACTCGTGACCGGTTGGCTGTGAGTTGGACATGCTTGATGTAGCCCTCAGGAGTACTGGTCAGCATCCAGCAGTCTTAGGAACAAGGTCCTGGTTCAATTGACTACTGATTCAATTTTTTTAATCCTCACCTGAGAAACATGTTTGGAGAAAGGAAGGAAGGGAGGGAGGGAGGAAGGAAAGAAGGGAAACATCAATGTGAGAAACATCAATCTGTTGCCTCCTATACACGCCCTGACCTGGGATTGAACCCACAACCCAGGTATGTGCCCTGACTGGGTATCAAACCTGCAACCTTTCAGTGCACAGGACGATACTCAACCAACTGAGCCGCCCCTGTGGGGCTCAATGGACTATTTAGACAGTTTTCAATCAAATGGAACGCAATATCTTGGCCTCTGTTGTGTTTTAGCTCCAGACCCAGGAGAGCGAAACGATCCCATAGAACAAATCCTCACCATGTCTTTTATTTTCTGTTCTGATACATTGACTGACATCCCAGGTATGGCTGACTCTGGAGGGACTGCCCCTGCCCCCTTAGAGTGAACCAATTCCTAGAGATAGTCATCAAATTGCCCTTCTAGCATGCCAGAGTCTGTACCCCTGCCCTCCTCCCCCAATAGCTTCTTTCTCAGGCTACCACGCCCCAGCCACTATCTTCCTGCCCTAATCACTCCAGGGCCAGATCCCTGCCAACCTGCCAACCACCACTGAAATTGCCTATTTGCATAGCTTGCCCTGACCTGCAACCACCATCAAGACTCTTGCCACACTTTTTCCCTCTTCCATCTCCTGACCTATCCACTGCTTAACCTTGTGGCAATCATGGTGGTGGGCCCCCTCTGCCTCTTGGAAACTAGGAGTAACAACCTATTTTCTCAATGAAGTGGCTCCTGATCTGCTGGCCCTCCAGCAGTTTCTATTAAAACAGGACACTTTAAAACAACCCCTTTATTTAAGGATTCTTCCGTGGCACTTTCTCCATCCCCAAAGAATCAACCCATTTCATCCTCAGGAAAACCCCCCTCTCCCCCCCTCCCCAGGGAGGTGTACCATCATCACACATTTAAGAGAAGGAGGCGCCCTAAGGACACACACGCCCGTGGAGTCCATGTTAATATGCTGCTAAGCCGCTCTCCACGATTTGTCCACATCTGGACCAATGAGCAGGGGAAATAAACAAGCTCCTGCAGGTCCTCGTCCACAGGGGTGAGGTGAGCGGTGGTCCGTCTCCACGGCTCCTCACCCCTGGGTCTGCTACAGACTTGGGGATGGCACTCCCATCACGCTGTTTCGGAACCGCACCTGTTACGGGTTTGCCCAGTATGCAGCTCCCCCACCTCACACCAGACACGGATTTCCAAATGTGCCCCCCTCCCCGCCGCTATTTGTATTTCAGAAGGACTCACCCCAAGCAGTGCAAGTGGCCAGGGAGCCCAGGACTAGAGCGAAGAACCACATTGTGGGAGGACAGCACTCCAGGGCCACAGGTCTCCCTGCAAGCTCCTCTGCCTCCAGGGGCTGTGACCTTTGCCCCTCACTCCATGTCATCAGCTCCCGCCCCACTGCTGCCCTATGGCCTCATCAGGAAGCAAAATAAATGCTCCTGGTTTCCCAAAGGGCTGCTCAGGGCACAGCCAGGGCCTCCAGGCCACGCCCACCCAGAGTTGACCCTCTTCCCCCTAAACAGCCTGGACACAGCTCTCAGGTTACTTGATTGTCAAACAACTTGTTACATAAGGGTTTCTCCCTTGGACCCTTCAACCTGAGCAGGTGGTGAGCTTCCCAAGGCAGCAGACAAGGGGAGGCGGTAGTACTCAGAACAAGGCTGCAAACTTTGTGAGCAACTCTCAGCCCCACAGCTGCTCAACTGGGGAATTTAGGACAAATCTCTTAGCTTCCCATGTGGTGTGTGTGTGTTGGCGGGGAGGTCAGTCCCCAGAGGTAACTGCTTCTATAAAGATTGGCCTGGCCCGAGCCAGTTTGGCTCAGTGGATGGAGGGTCATCCTGCAGAGTGAAGGGTCCCAGGTTTGACTCTGGTCAAGTGCACATACTCAGGTACTTCCGGTTGGGCTCGGAGGCAGGGGGCAACCAATCAGTGTGTTTCTCTCACATCAATATTTCTATCTCTCCCTCTCTCTTCCACTCTCTTTAAGTATCAATACAAAGAAATCCTTGGGTGAGGAAAAAAAATATTAAAAAGAAAAAAAGATTACCCTGAGGTAGGGTTCCTATCTTCTATCTAGGGCAGTGGTCGGCAAACTCATTAGTCCACAGAGCCAAATATCAACAGTACAACGATTGAAATTTCTTTTGAGAGCCAAATTTTTTAAACTTAAACTATATAGGTAGGTACATTGTTATTAACTTAATTAGGGTACTCCTAAGGCTTAGGAAGAGCCACACTCAAGGGGCCAAAGAGCC